AAAAAAAAAAAAAAAAAAAAAAAAAAGTCAACAGCTTGCAGGACCAACCTGTAAAGACTATATTCTAGCAGGTAGACCTACCAGTAGCCTAAGATGTTTGCGTACATGTCAGTTTGGGAAAGGGGGTAGTATACCCAAGTCCCGTGGCTACTTCAGGGCGAGCTTATTCCGAATTGGAGTGGAATTCTGTATCTGTATCTGATTCCGACTTCTGCTCAGTATGCTATCCTCTCTTGTTTCAGACGTGTGGACTGGTACTACCCCTTAAAATCGACTTCCCAGATCATGTCGACAGACAGGCCTCCCGTTCCCCAACCCTCTCAGCTGAACCGTCTGGATGAACAGTCCCATATGCAGCTTTAGTCTGGCAGTTTGTTTGTTCTTTTGTTTTGTGTTGTTTTGTTTTAAAGCCCTCGCGACAACCCTCTATCCCGGCGGTGGTACGAGAACCGCCGAGATTGAGGGCTTGTCTGTCCGGCTGCTCCATCTATTGGTGGGGAGCGGCACCTGCTGGAAACCGGGTCCAGCGTCCCATTCATGGATCATGTAAATCAGAACTTAGCAAGTGTTGTTCCCTGGGACTGTGTTAATTTCTGTTGGCATTCCGGGGCTCCTTTATCCCTTGGAGCTGCTACTAACTCCCTACCCTTCTCGGAGCGCCCTCTCTCTAGCTATTAGCCCAGCCCTGCCCAGCAGCTCCCCTTTGTCATATTATCCTACTTCGACATTCCTTCTATAATCCCTACCACAACCCATGTACGGTCTGCCCTGAGGAGATTAACACTTGTCAATGATGGACTGCCGTAACACTGTGGTAGCTGTTGTGATCAGATCGACATACAGTCGTCGTGATCACTAGCTGGCGGACCCGCCTTCACTGGGTAACCTTTCGTGGGTGAGAGCACGTCGCAGCCTTGGTTGCATGCCTACATGATAGCCTTAAGAAAGTGATAGTATACACCGCGGCTCCCACTTCTGCTCCTGAGAGAATTGCAGAGTCCCAGTGTAGTGCCTGCCCGTTACGCTGGCATACAGGTCCCACCTTCTGATAGTTTCTGTTGCATTTGGCAGTTTGTTAACTGCATGCATCTACCGTTTCGTCGACACCTCAACCCACGTGATGGTATGAGAAATTGGTAGTGCGTGAGTGCTGGTGGGCCTTGCCCTCTGTATCTGTCGTTGTAGTTGAGACCTTTCCCTTATTAGACTCCCTTCTTTAACTGATGTCGCCTCCTCTCCTGTCCTTTTTTTTTTTTTTTTTTTTGTGAAACTTCGTYATACGGGAAACCTACTTAACGAGGTGATAAGAGCATCCCCGGTAAGTAGGTCCCGACGTCGAAGGCTCCATCTATTGGTGGGGAGCTACACCTGCTGGAAATCGGGTCCAACGTCCCTGTACAATTATGAGAGGGTCTGCTGGAAATCGGGTCCAGCGTCCCTGTACATGCATCTGAATGTATCAGCTGGAAACGGGTCCAGCGCCCCTAGAGAGATCCACGAAAACCCTAACATGTATGTGTAATATTTGTGTGATATGTGTGATGATTTGTGATCTTGTGAATTTGAATGTCTAAACACGAAACCCTAACTATGATGTGCTGTGATGTGAATGGTCCTTATCAATCAAAACAATATGAGAGATATGATATGTATGTAAGCGGGGGCATTGATTACTTCCCCGCGCAAGGGAAGGATTGACCACCCGCAATGTATATCCTCACCAGCCCCCCTCAGCACTCCATTGTTGATTGGTATTGCGGGCCGGACAACACCAATCAATTGGCAACACAATCAACAACGCTCATCCCACTCCTATCCTCAACCAGACGACGAGGTTAAAAGGGGGAAGGGAGGGGGAGATGGCAAACCTCTTATCCACATCAATCCCAATCCCCTCCACTTCAGCATGCGGCATCACACCCATCGTGCTAAGGCTTTCAGCCCCGCTGCTGCCGTGGTCATTGCTGCCTCCGTCGTTAACACTATTGGCATCATCGCTGTTGTTGTTGATGTCATCCCCAACCCCGCTCTCAACCCTGCTGCTGCCGCTGCCGTGAATGTTATTGTTGTTGTTGTTGCTGCTGCCGTGATAGTTGCCGCCACCATCGTTGTCACTACCACCATCATCATTATTGTTGTTGTAATTGTCGTTGTTGTTGTTGTTGCCACCCCCAGCATCGCCGCCGTTGTTGTTGATGTTGTTGTTGTCGTCATTGTTGCTGTTGTTGTTGTTGTTGTTGTTGTTGTTGTTGCTTCTGTTGCTATCGCCAGTGTCGTCGCCGCATTTATCTCTGCTTGCATCCACTCCGCCTCCTCTCCTGTCCTCTATGTTCGCAAATTGAAGAGAATCGTAGACGAAGAAGACAGCCCGCCAAACAACTGAAAGTGCGACCAGGAACATTCATTCCTGTTTTGCACTCTGGAAGCACGAGAGCGCCTGCGCACAAGAGATAGATAGATAGATAGATAGATAGATAGATAGAGAGAGAGAGAGAGAGAGAGAGAGAGAGAGAGAGAGAGAGAGAGAGAGAGAGAGAGA